TGCACCGGGCAGGGAGAGGACCCAGGATGGGCTCAGCCCCTGCTTGCCAAGCTGCCGCTGGGCGACAAACCAGGGGTGGTCTCTACTGGCTGTTGGTCTGGCCTCCCGGAGGCAAATGCCCAGGTGCCCTCCACATTCTCCACTGCCTGAAATGGTCCTCCTTCCCCTCAAGGCCTCACGTCCATTCTTTTCAGGTGGAGACCAACGTTTTTATTTTTTATCTTGGGGGCCCTGGGAGTAAAATGAAGCCAGCTGAGGAAGCCAGGGCGACTTTCCCAGGTGCACGGGTGTGGCCGGGGAGCCAGCGGTGGGGGAAGCCGAGCGCTCGGCCAAGCCTCTATGTCCTGCTGACCGGTTGGTGCACAGCTCTGGCAGAGCAGGGTACGTGGAGGATGCAGGTCAGACTTGGCGCTTATGTAGGGGGTTAGCACAGGCTGTGCATCGAGACTAAAGGATCTGTGTTGACCAGCCTGCCTAGGAACCCCCACGGTAGGTATGGGTTCTGCCTCTTGGCATACCACACTCGACATGTGCACTGAAAGGCAGAGTACACTGCTCCTCAGTAACGGTGCGCCATCCGCTTGTTTCCGCTGTGTTCAGTGTGTGCGTGTGTGCGCGCGTGTGTGTGTGTGTGTGCACGCGCGTGTGTGTGTGTGCGTGTGTGTGCATGTGTGTGCGTGTGTGTGTGCGTGTGTGTACTGTGTTCTGCAGCATCTTTACAGTTAGGACCTGTGCAGAGACCCCCCATCACATTCATGAACCATAACTTATTAAATTATTTTCCTAATTAAATATTTAACTGTTTGCATGTTTGCTTTATAGTCGACTCTAGACTTGAAATGTTTGTCATGTATTTTAGGTACATTCGAATGAATTTCTAGGTTACATTCCAGCCTGCTAGTGCAGGAGAGGTGTGCAACGCTGAGGTGTTTCTGTTTCCGTTGTGCGTTCCTTTCTAGGGCGCCGTGCCGTTCTGCATGCCAGTAGCCAGGAAGGTCCACGTCCATTTGCCACAGCCTCACTGCCACTGGGCTTTGCCCGTTAAAAATAAGACAGAGCAAAACAGCACGAGAGTAGCCAAAGTATGTATCCGTGCCACGTCACTATAGCTCTCTGCTCTGCTGTCTCGGATAATCTGCAAATACACTGCATAGCTCCTGCAGGAAGCATGGGCTAGTCCGAGGACCCCTGAGCTTGTCTTCGGGCCTCTGTGGGGACACAAGAAGCTGGGGAGCAGGTCTCCAGCCCACTCAGGACTGCACACAGTAGGGCTTGAAGGAGGCTTGACTCTATCAACAGCCTTGTTCTCAGCCTAACTTCAGTAGTCTCGAAACAAGGCAGAGCACGTGGCCAGTCAGTGGTTGGGGAGCCAGAGTGCCTTAATGCCATAGACGGCCTGGCCAGGTACAGCTCGCAGCGTTCCGCGCTGTTCTGGGTTAACAGCACAATTCCGTGGCCCCACTCTGGCACATGACGGAATGCCAGCTGTCGATCCCGAGTGGCCCAGTGCCTGTGGGGCCCGCCCCCTAGCAGTGACCTCCCTAACCCCCCACAGCCTCCTGGGAAGTGGGGAAAGCACGGGAGACACGGAAGGAGGTGGCCTGAACAGGGAGTGCAAAAATAGCAGATCTAAGGTTCTATTGTGCCAGTTGGTCAAATGCATTAGGATTCCATTGGAGAGGTGGCTAGACTCCCCCATGTGCCCCCCGAGTACCACTGTGGCCCATGGTGAGAGGCAGCTAGCTTCCTGCCACACTCTGTCTTCCCAAGTGACTGGGAGAGTCCACACCAGGTAATATAGGTAGGAAATGACAAGGAGAGGGCTCTGAAGTTAAGCTGAGGGTGAGGCAAAGGGAAGGGGCTGGGTGGACATATTGTCCCAAAGAGACTGGAGACTGGACAAGAGGCTGAGCCCAGAGGAGGAGCCGAACCCAGGAGCAGAATGGAGGACAGTGCTGACCTCCGGGAGGGGGACGTGGTGGCGGGGTGATGGCACAGGGAGGAGGCCCTGGGCTCTGTTGGAGGTCACTGCTTGATGTATCCAGTGTCACCCACGTAAGGGGACCTAGACTCGTAGGTAAACAGCACATAATGAGGAGGTGGATTTCTGGTTCTGCTCCTGTGGGAGGGCGCATGCGTAGGGAGGACAGAGCTCGTTGTACAGAGCGGGAGAGAAGAGGGTCTGCACTCCGGTGACACAGCTGTCGTGGGTGGGGGTGTTTTGCCTTCTTAGAGCTGCCTTGGAGACATTCCCAGCAGCACGCTCAGCCCTAAGAAGGCCCAGCTCTCATGCAGGTTATCTACAGAGATGACCACAGGGTCCTGGAAATCTAGGGACTTGGGGTCCCCAGGGAGACTTTGGAGCGGCATTCTACTCAGCAGGGTGCTTCGAGGGATGGCCAAGGGGGCTCTGGGATGTGAAGGAGCGAGGAAGGGATGTGAGGAGTAGGGCGTGTCTCGTGCAGACAGAGCTGGAATCTGCCCTGTCCCCACGCAGCTGGAGCTTCTGATCTGGCTCCCTTCACAAAACCTGGCCACCTGGTGTCGGGTCCACCTTCTCCAGGTCTTCCTGGTCTGTCGTCACATAGGTATCAGGGATCCAGTCACGTGCTTCCTCGAGCAGACTTAGGAGATGAAAAGGTAAACTTGGTCCTGTTTACACACGGAGGCAGGAGTGGGGCCGCCCAGCGGGTCTCCTTACCCCTCTCTTCACCGCCTTCCTGGTAGCCAGGGTTTGAGGCTGAGACACCCAGCGTCCCTTCTGGGTATTTCCTTCTTGGCTTTGCCCACTGGACTACAAATGCAGCTTCCATGCTCACCTGCCCCGAGCCCAAGCTGGAGACACGATGTGTGTGGCTTGGAGGAGGCCAGGTGCCCTGTGGAGTGGCCGCAGGCTCTTCTCGGAGTGGATTTCCACTCGAGCTGAGCCGGCTGAGTTCTTTTCCTTCTCAGAACACCCCTCGGAAGGTAGAAGTAAACCTGATCTTAATTCCTCCTTCAACATGACGTGGCCTTTTGAAATTGTACAAGTAACTGTCTGATTGTCATGTTGAATTGTGAGCACGGATGTGAGACGCTCTGGAGTCTGACTGCAGCCAAATATTAGGTCATAAGTCAACATTTTGCTGAGAAACTTGGTTACTAGGAGGTTGAAAATTTATATCTTTTCATGAGAAAACTTGCTTGCCAGCAGGAAAAAATTTCAAAGACTGTTATCTTCCTCTACGGAGGTAGAGAGGTGTGTAATTTTGCAGCCTGGGTCAGAGCCTCGAGCACGTCTGGAATTGGATTGGTTGAAGAATGTGACTTCAGCGTCATGTCTGGATCGCTCCCTGAGGTGAAAGTCGAGGAGTGGCATAGGTGTGTGTCTGTGTCATGTCTACAGGGTCTCTGGGCAAAATTGTGTGAATTGCTGGGAGCAGCCTGTTCCCACTGCAAGCGGCCACATTGCCTGTAAATCCTTCTTTATTTTAAATAGACAGCTTCTTTATTTTAATAATAGCGTGCATGCACACATGAGCACAAGCGAGAGAGAGAGAGAGATTCTTGAAGGGTCTTATCACGCCACGATCCCCTTCCCTACTCCTTCAGCATCTCAGGGTCCTGCACACACCCCTGTACACCTGCTGCTGTGAGCTCAGGCTGACCTGGGAACAGAACCCATAGTCGGCCATGTAGCTTCCAGCCTGCCGAGGCATTTGTGTTGCTTCTGTGCTGTAGAGGCTGGGCCATGGTGGAGAGTGTTGGATGGGAAAGTAAGCCATTTGGGACCTTGGGCCCTCAGGGTCTTCAGAAAAGGCACACCCCAGTCTCCCTCTCAGCATCTGAGGCACTCTTTGCAAAGTGTCAGCGGACATGAAGACTCACTTGCACAAAGGCGGGAGCTGGGACAGTGTCGAGGAGTCCACGGCTGGCCAGCTTGGCTGCTTTCGATTCGTGGAGCGCCTGTCCCATCCCGCAGTCCAGGATGAGGTCTTCCGGAGCCCAGTGAGCTGGGGTAAGAAGGAAGAAAAGGCAGAGAAGCTGCTTGCTCGCTGCAGTTGGAGTGGACGGTGCTGTGTCAGGAACATCCTACTCTGTTTTAGGACAAGCGACCGTGTCTAGTTTGCATATCCTTCTGAAGACTAAAGCAGCGCATGTTCCTTCTGGGTGCCCCAACTCCAAGGTTGGGGATGGGGCTCAAGATAGAACTGAGGGTCTGCTGTCAAGGAGCATGCTGGTGTATGCTGTAGCTGTGGTCACAGGCTAGTTCCTCATGCAGTGGTCTGCAGCCTCTGCACTGTAGAGACAGTGACCCTAGAAGCCTACTTGTGTGTACGGGTGTGTGTGTGCATGCGTGTGCATGTGTGTGTGTATGTGCTGGTGCATGCCCACACGTGTGGCAGAAGCCTAGCATGGCGCCATAGTGACCAGGGTCCTGTCTGCAGCAGTGTTTCCTCGTGTAGTGAGTTCTAGACATGTGCTTGTCTTTGAGATCGAGTGACAGCCACCGGGGAGACTGGGCCCAGGACCACTGCCCACATGACTCAGGCTTTAGTCAGCGTCTCCGTACTTAGTAGGAATACCCACTGGGTAAGATTTCTCAACCCTGTCCTTCCCTTCCCCTAGGGACTGTTTTCTAGGAAGGATCTTCTTCCTCATTCCCGTGCTATCAGGCTCTGTGCTCTTCCTGCACCTCTGATCTGAGAATCTCAGTCCTAGAGTGTTGGACTGTAACCTTGGAAATAGGTCCAGGGTGATGGCACAGGGAGGAGGCCCTGGACCAGGCGGCTAGGCGGGGAGCCCACCTGCAGCCCTTCCCCACCCTCCGTGGGAGACGTGCGGTGGCCAGAGCCAACACATCTTTTAATATCAACTCGAAATTTAGGGCATCAGCCAGAGGTGGCCACAATGGCAGGAGGCTCTGCTACACCATCGGTGGGCAGGGGGACCTTGCAGGGGGCCCCTCAGTTCACCACGGGGAGCAAGCTGCCTGACTTCATGGTGATTTGGTCTTTCAGGCAAAGAAGGGGAACTACGCCTTCCTGTGGGACGTGGCGGTGGTGGAGTACGCAGCCCTGACGGATGACGACTGCTCCGTGACTGTCATCGGCAACAGCATCAGCAGCAAGGGCTATGGGATCGCCCTGCAGCACGGCAGCCCCTACAGGGACCTCTTCTCCCAGAGGTAGGCCCGTGGGCGAGGCAGTCCCGCGGCAGCAGGGAAGGGAGAGCCACCTCTCCTGGGAGACGAGCAGATGCAGACCCACGTACGCCCCGCTGTCTCCTGGGCTCTGCCCTGGTGCAGCTCCTCTCTCACCCGGGGCCTGCCCTATGGCAGCTACTGGGTAAAAAGAGGAACCGCGTGGCCCTTCTTACTTTCCTCAGATGGACGTGACAGCCGGGACAGTGCCCAAGACATCAGTGCAAAGCTTGGACATTCTCCTTGTTCTGGGTGGGGGAGGGGCGGGGGAAGACAAAGAAGGAATCCCAGGAGGACTTACCAGAGGAGATGACACCTGAGTAGAGGTAGTCAGATAAATAAACGACAAGATCTGATAACGGCCTAATAATCGCTCACGAGGATAAATGTGTAGAGCTGGCTTCTAGCCCAGTGGTTAAGGGAGCTGGATTCCACATGGCTGGCCACGAGGTTCAAATCTCAGCCCGTGTCTTGAGAAGTATGCTGGGCACACATGTCGGCCTGCCTGAAGCCCTGACAGGATGGGGAAATACAGGCGATGGGACTGTGGGGTGTCTGTACCCACGGGGGCGGGTGCTTTCTCCCTCCCCCGTCTCTCGGTATCGCTCTGGTGAGCATGTAAGCCCTCTGGAAAACGGAATGGATGAGTGTGCCTGCATCATGGCATTAGTCAATGCGGAGACTTAACAGGAAGTGGGCTCCGGGAAGCAGACTCCAGATCCACCTCACGTGGGCCGAGGGGTTGTGCTTCTGGAGCAGGAGGTTCCCGGTCCAGGGAGACACTGGCTGCTGAGGCAGGGAAGGGACCCGGCCCTCCCCTGTGGAGGGAGGACAGTCATTCATCACCTCCCCCCTGGGCAACCTCCCCGGAGCAGGAGCAGTGCCCAGGTTCCCCGCCTCCTGGGCGTGTGGTTGGCCCCCTGAGGTGAGCGCTAGCAGGTGGGTGCAGGGTGGAGTGTGGGATGAGGGCCGTGCAGGCAGCAGAGCCCTGGCCCCGGCGAAGGGGCTCCGACGAGCAGTGCACCAGGGGCACTTGCCCACTTACGGCCCCTGTGGCTAGCCGTGGGATCCGTGTCCCTGAGCCTCAGCAGCTCTGGAGCCTTGGGCATGACTAAGCTTGCGAATACTCGGTCTCGTCACCTGATCAGGTTCCAAGAGAAAAGAAAAACCTGTCACCCCCATTTTCTACCACAGAAGCTTAGCCAGGTCCTTGACCAGGTGAGCTGGCCTTAGCCAGAGAGTGTGAAGGGCACTAGTAAGTCCAGGGGCCTCTCGCGTAGCCAGCCTGCCTACAGGGCTCCTGTCCACGAGCATTTCTGAGCCCCGAGTCCTCCAGTTGCACTAGTCTGTGAAGCCGCTCACGGGTGGGTGAAGGCTGAACCTGCAGAGCCCTGCAGTCAGGCCGTGCCTTGGTTCAGCAAATCTGAAAGGAGGCAGCAGCGTTCATTCAGGTGCAAAGGCCTGTGTGTGCCGGGCTCAGGACAACACCCAGTTGCCTGGTTAGTGCCTGAATCCAGCCTGAAGAGCATCCGCGTGGAAGGACGAGGCCTTACACCCTTTAACATCAATGGCTCAGGGAGGGCGATGCCCGGGGCTGCTCAGTGGCCACTGGCCGAAGTGGGAGGGAAACACCTCGTCTTCTGGCCCCGGGGATAGGACCAGCTGCTGGATCTCGAAGCCCTTCCTCCCCACGTCTCCTTGTTCCTGGATCGGGCCTTTGGCACGTGGCGGTCCAGGCCTCGGCCCCATCAGGGGAAGGTCTGCCCGTTCAGGGGCTTGCTTGCAAAACCAGGAAAAGAGGCAGGACTAATTAAAGTAAATGAGGCTTTGGGGTTTTCTCTAGAATTTAATCAAGTGTACGCTCTGTGCCTCTGCTCCAGGGAGCAGAGGAAGACGACAGGAAAGAAGCAGGAGTGGTAATTTACCGGTGGCTCAGACTAAAAGCATGAAGAAAGAGTGGCCCCTCCCAGGATGTGTAACACACTGGCATTCCCGAGGTTTACGCCGGTTGGTTTTCTGAGGTGGGAGGCTCAGGGTGATCCCATAGACCATCAACTCATGAGCATCTCTCTAGAACAGATGCCAAGGGGGCCCTTGGGGCCGGCACGGCAGCAGCTTGGAGCCAGCTAATGTGCCCCAGAATAGTGCTCACAGACACACGGGCCTCGCGAGGGGAGGCTGGAGCCACTGCTGCTCCGGCTGCTTAGACACCTCCCGAGTCTGCTGGAGAGTCTGAAGTGATTGTGGAGAGCAGGCGTTGGCCAGGCAGCAGGGGTCTTGGCTGGGCTCAGGCAATGGGGGTTCAAACTAGGCCAGAAAAAGACCTGGAAATCCTTCCCCTGGAGAAGAGGGCTGAACAGGAGGGTGTGGTGCTTCCTCCCAGTACCGCAAGACCTGTCAGGTGCAGGGGAATGAATGACTTGTCCCTTATGTGGCTCCAGAGGACTCAGGAGCAGGACAGGCGTGGGGTGCAGGACCTCAGTGAGGCAGGCCTGTGCTCTACCCGGCCTCTCATGGACCATGCGGTCTCTATGTCAGATTCCTCCCATAGAGACCTGTGGGCTGCCCCCACCCGTGTCCACCATGAACTAAAGCGGCCAGATCTTTCCCCACGTCGGTCTGGCAAGAGGTGACTTACTGCTCTTTGCTCCTATCAGAAGGCAGAGTGCTCTCAGAGTCTCTCCCGGGCTGGAACCCTCCCTTCTCCCAGAAGACAGGTGTCTACTTTTGGGGGACAGTTAGACTTCAGGTGGCCCTCACTGGGTGTGCTGTGGAGGCGTGAGGGCACAGTCCAGGAGACACGCCCCCTGCCTTTTGCAGAACAAAGGTCTGCGATGAGCAGCAGTTCCCAGCCTCTCTGCAACTGAAGAACTGGCCACCCCTTCATCCTGGGAGCTATTTCCTTGAATGTGGACGTGCTCCTTGGCCTTGGCAGGGGCAGCGTGTAGATGCGTGTGTGTGTGCAGTGGGGATTACATTACGCGCCCTAACAGGTTTGCAGACCACGGCGTGCAGAATGGGCATTCGATAAATGTTTAGCAACTTAATAGCCATTTATTGAGCACCTACTGTGTAGCAGGCTCCAAGCTATTGAATCAAGGAAAGCACCTGCAGTTATGTCTGTCTGGAAAGTAGAACAGCTGGCTTCAGAAGTGGCTGTTCCCGCTCTGGCTTACAAACACGCAGGCGTGGGGTGCATTACGCTGTGCATTCGTTTAGCCTCATTCTAGAAGTCGTTGTGTGACCTGTTTTATCTGTGCTCTGTTGCTTCCCTATTTAAATTTCCGTTTTTGTTTGTCTTTGTTTCATCCTGTCTTCCTATAAATGTCCTTATATTTGGAATAAGAACGGGCGTAGGCTGTATAGTTCCAGGGAGTGGGGAGCAGGCAGGTGGGCAGCCTACTACTGTTGTGGAGGACTGGGAACCAGCCCCACGAGCACAGTCTGGCCTGAGCCTCACCATCCCCTCAGCCAAGACGTCTGAGCCTGACCCTGAGCCTGCTCTTCTGGGTCAGAACAGCCAACTGTGCGGAGCAGCGCTGCCATTCCTAACCATGACTGCTAGCGCTCACCTAGACTAGGAGCCTCAGGGCTTCAGGACGTAAAATAGACACAAGAACTGTTTCGCAGGCTGTTGGGAGAGCTGGAGCAGTGTGACGTGACCAGCCCTACTGTGTCCTCACTGGGAGAAATCACCCTCCAGAGGGAATGGCCACACTGCAGTCTTGTCCCCCCAGGGGGCGATGGCCACACTGCAATCCATTCTCCCCAGGGGGATGGCCACACTGGAATCCCTTCTCCATTATCCTCTTGGAATTTTGTGCATGCACACACACACACACACACACACACGCATACATGCCCCAGCCACCAGGTCCAGGACTCAAACCACGTTCGACTACATGGGAGTCCAGTGACATAACCATTACGCCATCTGCTGGTCCCCAGACTCTGCAACCCCTAACCATCATTAGGGAGTGCGTATTACTCACCAGATCTTGAGCTAGTGTCCTGCATGTGCACCCCCCTTTACTTTTGTCACACTCATCCCAAGAAGATGTGTCTTTTAGAATCTCAGGTTTTCCTGATAGTAGAACTCAAGTTGAGAAGCACACGGTCCATTGGCGTGGATTTTGCCATGAGCACATAGCCCTGTCGTGTCTCCATGGTGAACGAATGGTTCACCCTCTCGCCCACACAATGGCTCTGTGGTCACACCTGTAACTGGCAGGAAAGCCAGCCCACTCCACCCTCCCTGCAGAGGCTTGGTGAGAGCCAGTGGACAGAGAGATAGGCAAGTTCTCCGTGGCCTGAGCCATGGGAGGTGTTGGAGACTGCCGTGCTCAGCTATTTGTGTGTTGACCTTGGGGGAGCCCTGCGTGCACAGGGGCACTCGAGTGTCACCCAGACCCCACAGACACACATGCAAGTCATGCACTGCTCTCACGACCAAGCCCCTCAGCATGGCCGCACTGTAAGTCTTCCGTGCTGACGGATGCCCCGGGCACGTAACAGACATTATATCACTCTTACCCATGGCCATCTGAGTGCAGCTAAGTCTCCATCATTTGATTAACACATGCACACATTTATTGATGTAACAAACACGCACTGGTGGCCTCGGCTGTGCCGGCCTCTGTGCTTGCTTGGGGGAAAGATGGAGAACAGTGCACAGCCCCTGCCTTGAGCTGCCCGTCCAGCAGGGTCAGCCATCTGTGTCACAGAGAGGAGAAGGCCGAGGCTTTGCAGGGTCAGAGGCACACAGCTGAGGGCTGGGGCCTCCAGAGCCTGCATTTTTGCACTGAGCCAGGCCATTCGCAGCTGGCCAGAGCTATGCCATATCGGGCCCATGAGGACACAGGTCAGGGGCCCCCTGGGGTGGCCAGCCTTGGTCTCCACAGACACGAACATGGTAATCTAGAGTAGCCTCAGGCCATGGGGACTGCGTGCAGGTCTGGGGTAGGACTGCTCAGCATCCTGTGGAACAGTGAGCTTCTCCCAGCTGTGAGGAGACACTGCTCTCTAACACCGTGCCCCCGGAGGACTCAGGAGCTCTCTGCTAGTGCTGTCACCCGGGTGCTTGGACATGTGACAGGGACCAGGCTAAAGGGCCCCACTGCCCAGGTGGAGGAGCTTGGGTATCTCGAGTCTGGCAGCTTCCAGCTCTCACTGGCCACCGTTCAGACCCTGAGCTAAAGAGGAAATCCACTATGAAAGAAAACCACCATGGGGATGGAGCAGGGCTGCCTGGGCTGCCCCGCCCCAGCACACAGGACAGACAGACTCGCTCTTGTCCTCTTGGACCCGCCAGGGCTCTGCCTGCCGCGTGGTCGTCATCTCAGTCCTCCTGGCTCACCGTCTATAGCTGCGCCAGCCACGTTTGAGCTTCTCCAACATGCTGGGCACTTCCCGGACACGGTGCCACACCTGTTGTCTCAGGAAGGTCCTCCCCACTCACCGACAGTCAGCCTGCCAGCCTCCAAGTGACGCTGGCAAGCTGTCTCACCTCTCTGTGCCTCAGTGTCCGTCTCCATGAAAATGGGGAGGTGGAAATCCCCATCTCAAAGGGCCAGCGTGAAGGTTCAGCGCTGTTGGCCACGTGCTAGGAAGCTCCTGGGCCCAGAATGTGCTAGGCGAGTGTGAGCTGCTTCATGACCAGCCAGCCCGCGGGTTCCCACACACTGCCACCTGCTCCATGATCCCGCCCAAATCCAGCCCTTGGGAGCGTCCTTGCACCTCTGGCCTTCCATTGCATCTGTCACAGCTTTGTCCTGGCGTCAGCCGCCCTGTGGTGCGAGGTTGGCGTCGGGTCTCCAGACCAGGACTCGGTGCCAAGCCTCACGCGTGTGAGTGTGGAGGCCCTCCGGTCCGAGGGTGCCGGGCGGGCCCTGTAGGAGAGACTTTGGATGCCGCAGTCGGAGTTGGAAAGGGCATTTTGTGGTCAGGGATGCCCCCCCACATAGCCCTTGCCTCGCCTGTTTTTGAATCTCCAGGTTTTATCCTGAGCACTTGCCCAGAATCCCACGCTGGGCCATTGGACCTTACCTGTGGGCAGCGAGGCTATCGGGGAAGGGCATGGCGAGGCTGTCAGGGAGGGATGTGCAGTGGGCGGAGCCGTGCTGTGAGAGGCGCTCCATGCCGGCAGCTGTTCATGGTGGGCCAGTGGCAGAGTCCCCATGGCTAAGTCAATGAGTTTGGCGGCCATGGCTCACCTGGATCATGTCTTGCAGGATCCTGGAGCTACAGGACACGGGGGATCTGGACGTGCTCAAGCAGAAGTGGTGGCCACACACGGGCCGCTGCGACCTCAGCAGCCACGCCAGCGCCCAGGCCGACGGCAGGTCCCTCAAGCTGCACAGCTTCGCCGGGGTCTTCTGCATCCTGGCCATCGGCCTGCTCCTCGCCTGTCTGGTAGCCGCCCTGGAACTGTGGTGGAACAGCAACCGGTGCCACCAGGAGACCCCCAAAGAGGTCTGTCCCCTGGGCCCCGCCTCTCCTGTCTGGCAGGAGTCACACAAGGCCATCTGGTGGGTGGGTTTTCTCCTGCTTCCACCTGAGTCATCTTGTCTGGACACAGACATATTGGGGAATTGAGTCATTGTTTTAGCTTGTTTTTAAAGCAGAGAAAAACACAGGGGATGTTTTCATGCTTGAACAAAGTGCCAGGGTGCCAGCCATGGTCACTAAAGTCCTGTATTTATCCATAGAGCAGGTACAGCGTGGGCAGTGCCAGAGAGCCCTTCCCCACCCTGCCCCGCCCATGCGCCTCCACCCTGACCTGGAGAGACCAGCTGTAGGGTAAGAGAGGAGCTGCCTTCCTTCCCGGGTCTGACTTCTCACAAGGCACGGGCCCTGCTGTCCCAGCGGGCGAGAGGACCTTGGTCCCTTGCATCGCCCCTCCTCCCTTCTCTCTCTCCTCCCTGCAGGGCCCAGTCTCACCCTGCCACCCAGCTCGGGGACACCATTCTCTGCAGACTCCAGGCATGCTTCTGTCCCTGCGTGCACCAGCCATGGGCTGATCCTGCCCTCACTCCCTGCTCGCTGGGTCTTTGTCCTTCACGCTCTCTCTTGCTTTTGTAAGGAAGCCTTTGCCAGTGTCCCTGGGAGATGGTTCGTTCCCCTGAGGGAGGGTGGTGAGGAGTGCCGTTTGGTGACGATGCCCTGCCGGCACCGGCCCTGGCACAGGTATCAGAGCAGGAGCCCAGCACCCCGTCCCCGGGCTGTCACCTGCCAGCACTCCTCAGTACACAGGTGTCACAGCCCACTCATGGTTCTGCTGGCACCAGCGGAGGAGTCAGGCAGCTGGCATCAGACAAAGCACCTTCTTTCTTCTTTTTTTTTTGGTTTTCCCTGTTTTTGTTTTTTCCTGGAGGCTCAGGTGGCACTTGGCAGTTTATAAAATGGCTTCACAGACAGAGCGTCAAGCAGGAACAAAACAACTCAGTGGGAAAGAAAAGCACCCAGGTCCCTCATAGCAGCCTGGTTCAGGGCAGGGAGGGGGCCAGTGCCTCAACAGTGAGGACCGGCGAGGGCCACCACCTCTGCAGCCTGGAGTCCTGGCCCGGCCACACCCTCCTTCCTGGTCTGCCTGGAAACCCTGGAGCTGCGGCGGACAGAGGCACTGCCCCTCTCCCTTCCCAGGACAGGCAGCCGGCTCTCTGCCTTCACTTGCTATTTTTTTATTTTATACATATAATTACTATACATCACTTTGCTTATAAGTAGAATATATCCAACATGAATACGCTTCACACCAGTCCAGTTGAGGATCCAAAGTGCATTATCATCGACAGATGATAGCCCGTTTCTGTGTCCCCTAGATGCCCTGCCTCTCCCCCCTGCCCCGCCCCCCCACACATACACATACACACTACTGCATCGCTTCTTTGTTCTAAAAGCAGGGCCCTGCCAGACTCAGTGCATCAGAAATGTCCTGGGACTTCCATCTTCTGCTCCTGCTTTCTGGCTATGCCTACCTGAGGCAGCGTGGGGCCTGGGTCTGCCCCACCTGACGGAAGGCAGGGTCTGGGTCTGCCCCAGCCTCCCCCGTCAGCCCTCGAGTGCAGGGGGGAAGCAGAGAGGAGAATGGAGGGAAATGCGCCAAAGGAGCAGTGACTGGTCCCCTCCCAAGCTTTTTCTGCGGCTGGAAAGTTGTGTGTGAAGTCACGGAGACAGTGAAGGGCCCCAGGAAGGGCTGCAAACCCTCCCCGCCCAGCCTGCTCACCGTCCAGGACACATCATTGGCTGGTCCTGTCCAGGTCGTCACACAAAGACACACCGCCCGCACCGGGGTAGGGCAGTCCCAGAGCCCCCCTGAGCAGGATGCAGCAGGCCTGCAGCTGCCCAGGTCGCACCCCCACCCCGCCGTGCTTGCTCAGGTTCAGGCTTGCCTGAGTCATCAGCCTGATTTCCTCTGTGTAAATGCCTCTGGGGTCCAGGGGTTGGGGAGGCTCCCCCAGTGCCTCACAGGAGCTGTCTTGGCCCAGAGGTGGCCGGGGGCAAAGTTCAGCTGAGCCCTCCAGAATGTTCTCTGAGAGTCACATGGATGAGAGGCCGTCCTTTGGATTAGAAGTTCTTGTCTGCTTTCAGTCTTGGCCCATTATGTCCCCAGTTTAGGGGCTGTTCCAGCCTGGGTCATCCAAACTTAACTGTCATGATGGGGTGTGTATATGTATGAGAGAGAGAGACAGAGACAGAGAGAGACAGAGAACTGCTGGAGGGGCAGACAGGAGGGTGGAAGTGGAGAGAGGACAAAAAAACTGGGAGACCAGAGGTGCCCTGGCTGTGAAGAACAGCTGGTTTTCTGCCCCCAAAGCTTCTATCATTTCTCCTGGTTTCTGCGTAAGTGCAGGATTGAGGAATGAGAGGGTGGATCCAGCGGTCCCCCTTCTCAACCCCTCTGCCAAGCTGCTTCTGGGTAGGGACAAGGGCTGTCCAGAGGCGGTTGGAGAAGCACAGTGCCTCCTTCCTCCAGCTCCTTCTGGTGTCGCTAAGAAGGGTTAAATGGAGACAGTCCACATTCCCCCTGTTTTTATAGGTTTCTCTTTCCTTCCCCTAAGAAGTGTGTCTTTGAGGACCAGCCCGGACTCAGAGGACTCGCTTACCTCCCCCTCACGGGCAGATGTGTCAGCACCACCCCCTCCCCGGCAGTCCCCACCAGCTGTCAGGGCGGTCCTGGAGTGGCAGTGCGTGCCAGGAGAGTGCAGAGGGGTATTCCCGGGCGTGGGGGCACAGGCCGCAGGAGTGCCGCCCAGTGTGGAAGAACTGTGCAAATCTCGGAGCTGGAGATGGATCAGAGGTTGCTTTTGGGCAAGGGAACAGTGAGGTGTAAACAAAGTCATCGCTCCTCTGGAGCCCCGGGGCTGGAGTCTCAGCAGGAGAAGGAAACACCGTGGAAGGAGCCCGGGGAGGGCCAGTTCCAAGGCTTTCATGGCCAGGCTGGGGTGGGGGGGTGTCACTGTGAAAGGAATAGGGACCAGAAAAGGGGCTGAAACCACAGTTTTTCAGAAGCGTGTCTTTAAAACCGCCACGAAGTAACAGCAGCGTTTAATCCAGAGCTGGCTCTGACAGCGGCTGGCGGGGGTTGACAGCGGCGGCAATCGCCCAGCGGCTTCTTGTGTTTGAGGGAGCAGCCAGCGAGTCGGGCTAGTCAGGGCGTCCCACTTCCAGGCCCTGGCCATATTTCTTGAGCCGGAACCCGTCTTTGGGAGGAACTGTGTCTTGTTTAGCGGCTTGTACGGAGATGTGCCCACGCCGTCTTGAGGAAGAGTGGGGATGCACGTTCATACCCCTAATATTCAGGTGCAGCTAGCTCGTATTTTTTCTGAGAAAACTGATGACTATGTAGTTCCCAGTGCAGGTGAGCGCACCGAGCCCTCAGCTGCAGCAGGGAGCCCCCGTGGGATTTATGGGGCTGTGGAGGCAGGCCCTGGGAATAAATATTCATGAAACGCAGATGAGAGCTGCCTGGGGAGATGACATGTGGGCGAGGCACAGAGCACCCCAGTGTGGGAGCTGCTCCCTGCCCTGCCTGCCCTCCTGGCCCGCTTCCTGCAGACCGGAGCTGGGGCGGCCAGGAGCAGGGAGCAGGAGCCGGCCGCCCCTCTATGCCAGTCTGGGGACCTGCCTCCCTCTGTGGCCCTTCCATGGCCTGCCCTCCTGCTCTCCTTGGTTACATCGGCCGCTCACGTGAGGCTCTCTGTTTCTGCACGTTTTCCTCCCCATTTGTGCCAGCTCCTTAGAACCGCACTGAGGATTCAGCTGGGGGCGGTGTGTAAAGCGACTGCAGGATGCATGCGACCCAGGCCTGATGAGTGGGGGCCCAAGAGCTCCCCCTCCAAGAACCTCGGTGGGGTTAGGCAGTGAGGGCCACGGACAAAGCAGAGCACCCGAGGGCACCTGCGTTGCATCAGGCTTTCTAAGTTGTCTTCAGCAACCTCGCAGGAAGTCATCATTATCCCCGGAGAAATGGGCCCCGGAAGTGTCCAGGGCAGAGCTGGGGTGTGAATGACGCCTGTGTGCCTCCGTGGCCTGTGGCCTCCCAGAGGCCAGGGTGCTGGGTCTCCCCTGGCTGGTTCCTACCTCGCGTTTTCCAGTGGGGTTGGGGAGTGACTTGGTGTTCTCTGGGCCAATCTCCTAGTTCCTGGCCAGGAATTTGGCCTAGTTTCTCTCTTCTGCTTACAACTGAGTCCCATTTGACATTAGGCTGCCAAGATCAGATGTCAGGGCATAAAATGAACGACTGAGCGTGTGTCCTGCAGCCCCAACAAGAAGACACTGAACACTCATACACCATCGCGTCGCTCAGAACCTGCTTTCTGGAAAAGCCTCCTCGGCCCACCGCCACCGGCTGCTTCTCTCGCGAGGTGTGAGCCTGAGCTGCCGGCGATTATCCACCTGCCTGTCTGGTGCCGCCTCACCTCTGCATTCCCTTCACTTCGCCCCTCCCCAGGACAAGTGGAAGCGCTACTGCTCGTTAAGGGGTGATGAATATAACGAGGTATTGAGCACCTTCTGCGGGCCAGGACCAAGATGGATGCTTCACCGAGAACATTAGCTCATCTGCTAGCAGGAGCTCAGAAGTAGTTATTGGATAAATGAACCAGTCCGGGCGCCTATAAAGAAAACGTTATTAATGTTAAATTGTTTGTAATCATTGCAGCTGGATCAATGGCTTTCAATTCTGGCTGCACATCAGAGGTGATTAATTCTGGAGCATTTTAGCAACACAGATGCTTGGGCTCCATTTCCCAAAGGGGGGTATTAGGGAGATCTGGACAGCTGTTTCTAGAATCTCCACATAGGCTTCTGGTGTGCTGCCGAGGGTGAGGACCACTGGTCTACACCAGCCTTCCACGTACGACTGGGAGCACTCTGGCCGGCAGGGTGGAGACAAGTCCATCGGGAGACAGGCAGATGTGCGCTCCAATCCTGACGCTCAGCTTCTCGTGGACCTGTGTAGCCACGGACAC